TGGATGGATGGATGGATGGATGACTGGATGACTGGATGGATGGTTTACTGGATGGATGGATGGATGGATGGTTCACTGGATGGATGGATGGATGGATGGATGGATGGCAGGACTGCCATATTTCAGTCATTCCTACAATAATAACCTCCAAAATTTGAATTATTTCATCTTACTTTTTTATTTTTTAACCATATTTTTTCAGGTTGCAGCAAAGGTAACCGTATCTCCATGTTTCTGTCCTCTCCCAGGCATGATGGGGATGGTAGCTCACATGATGTACACAACAGTGTTTCAGATGACTGTGAGCATCGGACCTAAAGACTGGAGGCCACAGAGCTGGGACTACGGCTGGTCTTTTGCGTAAGTTTCAATTAATCCAAAGTAATTATTCTGTATTAAAGTAAAATATTCCCCAACAATCTTCAGATTAGATGAAATATCCCACAGAGTTTGATTATCACCCAATATTGTCATAATATTTTATATCTGCAAGGTATCTGGTTAGCAAGCTATACAGGAAGCTGTTTTGAGAGTGGCTGTGACAAAAACTAACCTATAGCTGTGGTCAGGAGTTCACATGAATGATTGGCATGGTGGCTTTTAATTATTTTTCTGTATTTCTTTTTCTTGGGTCAAATAATTGCACAGAACACATCTTTAACGACTTTAAAAAACAATAATTGAGAGCACGAGTTTTTAATTTATCTGGAATTTTGTGTAATCCACACGGGGTCAGAAGCATGCATAGAGGCTCAAAAAGATACATATACCGCCACAAATATCTGGTTAAATGTCTCTTACCAGACACTTTTGGTAGCCATCAACAAGCGTCTGGCATAATTCTAGCTATTCTAGATATTTGACCAATCTCATTGGCTGATTTGTTGGATTTTCAACATGGCTGAGGTCAGGGCTTTAGGTAGGTAGGTGCATAATGTTAGTTGCTTTGTCCATTTCATTTTTTTAATTATATTTTTATTGAAGAAAAAAAAGGGACTTGTTACAATAAAGTGCATTGACATTATTTAGTCAAAAAAAGAAAAAAGAAAAAAAACTTTTTCTTAGTCCTTTTGTTTTACATTCTGATAGCAAAAAAAATAAAATTAACTCATTGGCTTGACAGTGTGTTACATAATGCAGCATGTTTAACTTATTTACAAAGACTACATTAGGTATATATTATGAAGTTGAGGGTCAACCTGACATTGTACGATACATGCGAGATACACCAATTCAGGGCTGGTCTTACCTAAATTCAGGGCGGATGGGGGACACAAAGCTAATCCATTTATTCCATATTTTGTAGAATTCGTCTTTTCGAATTTTTAAAAAGAATGTCAACTTTTCCATTTTAAATATTTCGGAAACCATATTAAACCAATCCTCAAGTGTTGGCGGAGTTGGATTTAACCACTTTCTGGTTATTGATTTTTTGCTGGCCGCTAATAGCACTTGTAGTTCTTTGTCCATTTCAAAACCAGTGTTGATGTGTGTTTTTGATCATTGTTCTGTTGAAATGCCCATTTGTATCTAAGGTGCAAACATCTAGCTGTTGGTTTGAGGTAAAGTTGAATAATTTGAACATATTCCTCCATCTTTATTACCCACTTTGTGAAATGTATCCGTACCACTGACAGGAAACAGCATGATGCTTCTACCACTATGCTTAACAGTTTGTATAGTTGTCTGAGGTTTGAAAGCCTCACCTTTACTCCTCCAAACGATTCTTACTATCATTGTAGCTCAATCTTTGTCTCATCTGACCATGAATCTTTCTCCAGGAGGAATTTGGCTTGGTTGAAAATTTCAGTTTAGCTTGAAGTGTCGGTTTGGGACCTGGGACATCTCTCTTGGTCTGTACTCTCTGTCCATGGCAATGTAAAACTGGTTTCCAGTTCATGGGAGGCTTGAGCCTTTGTGGTTCCCAGGCTGTTCTTGAACTTAATAGGCCTTATTTGAAGAGAGTGTACGTATATGTTTGAGACTTCATTGATGCTCCTGACCATGTGTGGATTAGAGAAAATTTCAAATAAATTCAAACTTGTGCATCCAGTTCTTGTTTTTTTAAATCATTAAAATGTATGGTTTATTGTCATTCCACTTTGAAAAAAGAACCCTTCAAAGAAACAATTAAAAGCCCCAAATTTCCATGACATTCTTGCCCGTGGTGAGTGGATGTAAACTAACTGACCACAGTTATAGATGCTGTCTCTCCAAGCTTCGGTAGTTATACACTTTAAAGAACTTGACTGTACCACTTTCTGATCTGATCGAATCTTTACACAACCTTTTGTATTGGCTGGTCATCATACTAGTAGATTCAATCTTTCCCCCTCTCCAGCTTGGCATGGCTTTCATTCAGCTGCTGCATGGCAGCTGCTGTGGCCACACTGAACTCCTACACCAAGACCATCATTGAGATGAAGCACCGGGCTCGGGTAAGGCTGGAGGAGGCCCGAAATACCACCAGTGCCCCCTCCTACGAGGAGGTTGTTCGAGCTGGGCCGGGAGGGATTTACTCCGTCAGTCAGCTGATGCAGCTTGGACAACAGGGGGCTCTAATGGACCCAATGTGGCCCAGAGGAGTGGGACCAGCTGTTGGACCTCTGGCATGTGGCGCTGGGGGAGCACTGCTCATTGGTGGAGGAGGAATTGGAGTCGGAGGCATGGGAAATCTTGGCGTTGGGATGGGACTGGGAGGAATGCCATCTATGGCAGGTGCTGGGGGAAATGGTGTTGGAATGGGAGGGATGGGAGGTGGAGCAGGGGGAGGAATGGGAGCAGGTGGAGTAGGAGGGGGGAAGCTGGCAGACCCTCATGATGTGGTTGTGGTGGAAGGCTGTGGCACCGAAGGATGTGAAGATTGTGAACGTGAGATGGACGAGATAAATTATGCCCTCCAGGAGGAGCGAGAGGACTCACTCTGCTAAGACTTCTCGGGGCAGAAGACCTCGACAAACATCTCTCCACGGCAGATTTGACTTATCTCACTAAAACTACAATAAAATATATTTAAAAAAATTCACAGGACTTGCACAGATACACCTTTAACCTTTAACTGCTGTTTTGTACATGTGGGGTTGTAAAAATGAAGTTTCAAATCAGTTCTAGACTATTTTCAGTACTACATCTATTACAGTATGAGAATTTCAATTTCTGGACCAGTAGGGAGCAAAAGAGCCCGAACTGTTAGTGTTGTGGTTTATTACTGTAAGAGTTACCACAGCAACATCTTCATCCTATCTCAGTAATGTTTCTGTCCACATGGCGGTATAAACTCTGCAGATGCAAGCTGCACAGAGCTGCAAAGTTGGGATTATTATATTGGCAAGTGAATATTTGAATAGGGTTTAATACTTGAATCAGAATATTATGACGTAACATTTGTTAGGTTTGCCCTTCTACATGTCTTACACATGGAGTTAGCTTACAGTTGTTCCTGGCTGGAAGTACATATAACTTTAGGCAACTGAAATTTAAACACACAAACACACACACACACACACAGTTTGATTTTATAAAATTGCACAAATTATTTTGTTTTTCAAGCCTTACATTTCTTCAGGGATTTGATGTAATTCAGTGACTCGTTGGATGTTAGAGATGATGTGAATGTATTCAAGGGGCAACAATACATAACAAATAATATAACACAAGTTTGCAATCACATTTGCTGTATGTATATTTTTATTTTTAATCTGTTTTTGCATGATTGTATAAAATTCTCTCCACTTTAAGGTGATGAATAAACATGAAGCACATTCATTGCATGACTGGACTCGTCACTTGTAACAGACTTTAATGGAGTCAATGATACTAAAGTTTTTCAAGTTCATTCGAGTTAAGGTTTTAGGCTTTCAAACCTAACTTAACTGTACAATTCGGTGCTATGTGCACCCACATAGATTTGCATTCAAACAAATAGACTTTCTAAACTTTCTGAAGATGATGTACCAGTGCGTCATTTCTACTTTAGAAGAGTCGACCTCTGTAAAAACGTTTTCAGGAAGAGACTTGTCAGGAAGAGGCCAGACTCTATAGATGCCCTTCTGCATCCAGCAGTATGCATGAGTCCACTGGGACACCCGAACCGCAGGTTTGTGGTATTTCCACATTGGCTTCATTCATGCTAGAGATACAGCTCCAGGGTAATGTATATTTGCATCGATGAAATCAAGAAGAACCAGAATTTTGAGTGTTTGTCATCTAAATCTGCAGATATTTCTCAAAACTGTGTCAGAAAAAATGTAGTTTATTTACATTTC